GGGTTGTCGTTGAGTTGTTTGAGTACCTTTTCCCTCAGGGTCTCCCCCGGTACGTACAGCGCTCCCCTATAGTACAGTACCCCTTCCTTCTCCTCAAACCCTTCTTGGGTCCCTCTTCCGTCTCGTAGTTCCCGGATTTTAGTTTGCGCGAACACGTCGTTTCTGGTCAGCCCGGCTAGTTCTCGTTTCCCCACCAAAGTTCCCCACACACCCATCGGTCCTCGGGGATCACGTGTCGTTTCTCCGGCGGCCCCTCTCCTTCCAGGTACTCCGGTTTACGCAGAGAGCGTCTGCTCTTACGTTTTCTTCTCCGGGCACGTAGCGGATTTCAAAGAAAAACTTGGAGAACTCCTGTGCCCATCGAATCTGTCTCTGGTTGAGTACTCGTGCGGTTCTCCAGTACTCCAAGTTCTTGTGATCTGTGCAAACCTGGATCTGTTGTTGCGCCCCTATCAGTAGATGACGCCAACGACGAAGGCCGCGTAGATTGCCAGCAGTTCGCGGTCATACACTGTATAGTTTTGCTCCGACTTGCTCAGTTTTCTGGAGAAAAAGGCACACGGTTTCCACTCCTGCTTTCCCTTCCCTGGCTGCAAAGGACCGCCCCCACGGCTCTGTCAGGACGCGTCGGTCTCTAGCCTCAGGGGTTTCTCCAGATCTACGTGCAGGAGTTGCTCTTCCGATGCGAACGCCTTCTTCAGTTTTTCGAAGGATTGCTGGGCCTCTTCTGTCCACACAAACTTCTTTTTGCTACTGAGACAATCCGTGATTGGCGCTGTCAAGTGGGCGAAGTTCTTGATGAACTTCCTGTAGAAGTTGCTGAACCCTAGGAACCTCTGTACGTCCTTCCGTGTCTTGGGAGCCTTCCACTCCAGCACTGCCTGCACCTTGCTTGGGTCCATCGCTAAGCCTTTGTCAGACAACTTGTACCCCAGAAACTCGACTTCTCTGGCGTGAAACTGACATTTTTCCAGCTTGACCCACAACTGGTGCTTCTGCAGTCGTTGTAACACTTCCCTGACGTCTCTAACATGTTGTTCCTCATTGTCCGAATAAATTAAGACGTCGTCCAAGAAGGCTACGCAGTTCTTGTACAGCAGAGACCCCAACACGTGGTGCATGAAAGCTTGAAAACAGGCGGAGCCTGACTGTAATCCAAAGGCATAACTAAGTACTCAAAGGCACCTAGGGGTGTGAACATTGTGGTCTTCCATTCGTCCCCCTCCCTCATCCTGATCAAATTGTATGCGCCCCTGAGGTCCAGCTTGGTAAAAATTTTGCCTTTCCTCACTCGCGTTAAAATGTCGTCAATCCTGGGCATTGGGAAGGTCACGGGTTCTGACACCAAATTGACAGCTCTATAGTCCACTACGAGCCTGGGTTTATTTGTGTCCTTTTTGTCCACAAAGAACACCGGACTGCCCCTACTGCCTTTGATTCTCTTATGAAGCCTCTTTTCAGGTTCTTGTCGATAAATTCTCGCAATTCCTTCATCTCCCTGTCTGACATGGCGTACAGCTTACCCACTGGCAGCTGGCCCCCGGAAGCAAGTTGATCTGGCAGTCAAAGGGCCTCTGGGGTGGCAGTCTATCTGCCTCCTTTTCGCTGAAGACCTCCCGCAGATCTGCGTATTGTGGCGGCACCTCCCCTTTCCGCTCCACCGCCATCCCAGCCACCCTGGCCACGGTCATTCTTGGGGCTTCCCCCCCCTAGACAGTGTTCCAGGCAGTAAGCTGATCCAAAGGTGACTGTCCTCTGATGCCACGCCACCACTGGATCATGTTGTGCTAGCCAGCTCATCCCTAATATTATTGGGGGTCCTGCTAGCGAGGCGACGTGAAGGCGATGGTTTCCGAGTGCCTGGACACCCTCATTCTCATTGGCGGGGTTTGGTGTGTCACTTCCCCTCCTAGAAGCTCCCTGCCATCAATGGTGGTCACTTGCAAGGGAAAATCCAAAGGCAGTAAGTGGAGCTGGTGCTCTAATGCAAAGTCCTTGCTGAAGAAATTACATGAGCTGCCTGAATCCAGCATGCCTTTCACCTTGACTGGGTGCCCGTTCGGGAGTTCTAGCACCACTTCGATGGCTATTGCCGCCTTGGGGGTCTGGTTGGGGCACTTTTACTGGTGGCTGGCTTGGCTGTTGTGCCCCTTGATTGGCAGCCCAGCGTTCTCGTTTCCCTGTTCCTGTTCCTTTACAACCTCCTCCTCACCCCTGCGGTTCCCACCATTCCTTGCCAAGCCTTTCTTTGAGGGCAGGCTCTGGCAAAATGCCCTGGCCGCTGGCAAAGGTAACACCTTTTGGAGGTTTTCCAATCCTTTCCCTCCTTCTTGCGCCCTTCGCTGGTGCTTGAAACTTCCAGCGCGCGCGCCCCATCTATTTCCATTGGCTCTGCTGGCGGGGAGGGCTGCCTTGGTATTTCAGGAATGCGGTAGTCATGGCAACGTTGCTCTCTCCCTTCCCGCCTCTCCTGGGCCCGCGCTTCCTGGCGCGCGCCAATCGCAAGCACAGCCTTGGTCAGCTGATCCATCCCCTGTGGGCGGGGTGCGCGGGAAAGTTCATCCTTAACCGTTGGGGACAACCCCTCCTCGAATAACATCTGTATGGGTTCGGGCCCAGTTCCCACCCGAGGCGATGAACTATCATGGCAAAGCGCGACCAGTAGTCCCTGACTGACTGGCTCCCTGTTTACAGTTCATCAATTCCCGCTTAGTCACACTTTTTTGAACATCAGTGGAAAACATCGCGTCCATCGCTTGGAAGAATTTCCTCAGGTCCTGCATGGCGGAATTCTGCGTCGCCATAAGGGGTCTGACCCATTCTCTGGCCCCGTCCTGCAGGTGACCCACAACATATGCCACCCGCGCCGCGTCGTCTTCAAAATCGTTATGCTGCAAGTCCAATGCGTACTCTATTTCCGTTCTAAACGCACTGTATTCTTGCGGCTTCCCCCCAAACTTGTGCACCAGTCCCGGTACCTTCCTTGCTATGGGGGTGGGTCTGACCTGTGCATCTTGAGACCGCCTTTCGTCCAGCCGTGCCGTCAGAATGGCCACATGCTGCTCCAAATCTCGGTTCCTCTCCTCCAGCGTTTGCCCTCCAGCTGCTCCCCCTTGGGTGCCTGCTTCTCCGGGCTTGCTCATGATGCTGCCTGCCTGCTGCTGCGCACGAGCAACTTTCAGGGACTGACGGATTGCTGTAATGAGTATGAGTTACTCGTGCGTAAACTGGTGCCTCTCTAGGCTGATTTGCCTTGTTAAACCTTTCTGACTGCACAGCCCCTTCTGATCATGACTGTCTCAGTCACTAGCAGAATCCGTCAGTGGGCGTTTCTTGAATCTCTTCCAACATAAGAGTTGTTTGACACCCAATCGCCTCCGCCTCTCACTGCGCGGGAGCCTTCTGCGCAGGGTGGGCGTGGGTAGCGGGGGACCTGTCCCCTCCTCACTGAGTTCCAGTGAAGAGTCCATGAGCCCTCTCTCCGATTTTCCCATCTGCTCACTTTTGTTCCTGGTGTTGCGCTTAAATGCTTCCCCCTCCACTGAGTCGCCTCTCCCCCTGCTGCTGGGTCCTTCTCCAGCATCATCCAGGAGCCTCCCCTTTGCCTCTCGCTCTGATGTCAGTTCCCTGACATCATCCATCAAGGTTAGGAACCTCCACCTCAATTGTACACACTGAATCCTATTTGCATCCCACACTTCTGTACTCACCTCTGACAAGAAAACTAAATGTTGCTACCTGCTCTAAGGTTATGTACAAGACTAAATACCCCTTGAATGGATCAAATAAATTGCACAGTGAAATGACTTGAGATGTTTTGATTCTCAGTGCACCTTGAAGGTCTCTGCTCTTTTGCCATAATACTTATTTCCTGCTTGTGCTTTAAGAATGAGTCTTAGAATAACGCTGAGTGGATGAGGTACCATAGTATCTAACAGAATTTGCTGCTACATTAGTTTTCTCAGCCAAGGGGGCAAATGTGCAAGTGTCACAGCATGAAGGCTGGCTTCGAAACTAAAAATTAGCCAAATCACAACCTCAAAAAGGCTGATGAGTGCCTAGCTTGTTTCTAGCTCATCTGACCCAATATATCAGGCAAAATTCATGGGTCAATTGCACTGCATGCTCTGCTTCATTTCAGAAAAAGCTTAAAAATCTATTTGAGGATCAGTCCCGTACATGCTGACCTGACAAGTAGTCCCATTGAATGCATAAGACTTGGGAAACACAATATGCCACACTGAGATAATCTGAGCCAGTTCAAACAATTGGGGAAATCATGTGTAAGCATTCTGGATGCAAAGACCTTTTGGTTGGAGGAGTACTTTCACGTAAAGTCCCTGATGTGCTGAGTTTTTTAGTGTGTGGGTTTTTTTTACAGTGGTTCTAATCCCAACTCCGGGGTTGTTTTCGGGGAATAGCATTGAGTAATTGTCCTTTGCTTCCCTGCCAGTTGCACAGTGGGGTGCCGCAGAGTTATCATCTTGTCCCTGATGCCGCTTATGTGAAGCTGTTGGGGGCAATCATTAGGAAATTCTGGGCAAGATGTCACTGATGATACCCAACTCTATTTCTCTGTAACATCCAAATCAGGAGAAGCTGTGCAAGTCCTGGAGCGGTGCCTACGTTTGGTGGGGGGCTGGATGGGGGCCAACAATCTGACTATGAATCCTGGCAAGACAGAGGCACAGTTGGGAGGTTTCCAAGTCAAGATTGCATGCTTTGAAATAGCAGGTGTGTATCCTGGGGTTTCTCCTGGATCCATCTTTTTCACTAGATGCCCAGGTGACCTCCGTGGCTAGGAATGATTTTTCCCAGCTTGGCTGTTAAGACAGCTATGCCTCTTTCTGGACCAGCATAACATGGCCATGGTTGTCCATGCAATGGTATAACCTCTAGGCTGGATTGCTGCGATGCACTCTTTGCTGTGTCATCTACCCTTTGTCATTCCCTTACATAGCAGATAAGTGCTTTTTTTTGGTTGTTGTTGTTGTCTTTTTGGCACCTTCCTCTTCCAAAAGCCTTCTAAGTTGAGATATTTCCCAGCCTGCATTGGGATTGTTCTTAATATGAATCTATTGTTTTATCACTTGTTGTTTTCTGCCATGGGCTCCTTTGAGAAGAAGACATACCCTCCAACATTTCTCCAATGAAAATAAGGATGCCCTGTTCCATAATAATAATAACAATAATTTTACTATTTATACCCTGCCCATCTGAATGGGTTGCCCCAGCCACTCTGGGAAGCTATATATAGGTAGATAGATGATAGAGAGAGAGAGAGAGATACACATGGACACACACACACACACACACACACACATAATAAAACATTAAACATTTAAAAACTTCCCTACACAGGTCTGCCTTCAGATGGCTTGAGGGGTCAGATAACTCCATATTTTCCAACATTTCTCTGATGAAAATAGGGATGTCCTAAGGAAAAGTGGGGCATTCCAGGATCAAACCAGAAACCAGAACAGCTTCTGTAAATCCAGGATTCTCCCTGGAAAATAGGGACACTTGGAGGGTCTGGGAAGGCTGGGCTATAAATTTAATAAATATAATCAATTTACTAAAGATTTGTGAGCACTATTTTTATACAGTTACTTTTCTGAGAGCCTACTCAGCATTTCACATGTATTTTCTCACTCATCCTCACAACAGATCTTAAGGGGAGCTCATTAACCCCCAAATTACAGCAGTGGGAGCTAAGAGTGAATCACAGACTTCCAAGCTCCCATAAGAAGCTGCCTTAGACTACACCAGCCTGTTTGTTCATCTGGTCTAGTACGCTTTACACTGCACAGAGGGAGGGGAGCTCAATTTTAGCAAACGTTTTCAATGCAATCTGCTGTGTGCTAATGGAGCATGCCTCCTTAAAGGGCTGCTCCCACTGACAATCAGCTGTTTGGCAGTGGGACTCCACCTTCAAAGGGGGTTGCTCCATTAGTACACAGCAGATTGCATTGGAAACACTTGCTAAAATGGGGAGAGCACTGTCTTAACAAGAGGATGCAATGCAAACTCCTTTGTGATAATGCAGCAAGCCCCTTTGAAGGTGTGCTTCCACCATCAATCAGCTGATGATCAGCATGGGCACCCCTTCAAAGGGACTAGCTCCATTAGTGCAAAGCAGTTTGCATTGAAACTGCTTGCTAGGACAGAGCCCTTTCACACACACAACGCTGCTCATTTGTGCAAGCAATTGCAACGCAATCTGCTTCACACTGCTCAGGATCCCAATACCTCAAGGACCGCCTCTCCCTATATTCACTCATCTATTTGTATGACACTTTTCCACAAAAGAAATCGTGCTCAAAGCAGCTTACAACAAAGAAGCAGGGATGCATTTCGAACGAACACTGCAAATATAATTTCAAAATAACATAGCAATGGTTTTATAGCATAGCAAAACAACAGAAAATATAACAACATACCAAAAAAAACTCACATTCCAATACTGTAAATATAACAAAATTACTTACACACCATGTAGCATGCAATAGCAAAAATGACAAGGGAGCTTCACAGTTTCACCTTAGTTCTAGAAACACCCCGTCCCACGGTGTTGCTCAAAGTCCCTCTCCTACAGCAGCAGTATCAACCTGGACCCTGCCATCATCATCTAAGGCCTTTCTTCACGTGCCTCCTCCATGAGAGGTCCAGAGGGTGGCAGACCTTTTCTGCGGTGGCTCCCTGTTTGTGGAACACTCTCCCCAAGGAGACTCACCTGGCACCTCCCTTGCATTTTTTAGCCACTGGGCCTTTAGCTAATTGAATTGGCCCTTTAAACTGGGGGGAGGGGTATGTGTTTTGTCTGCTATTATGTTATGTATTTTTGTGTTGCATGTCGAGGTCCCCAGGGCCACCCCAATAACTCACACATCACACAGAATTTTTTGTTTAAGGTTTTTGGCATAATTTTGGCCACAACTTTATTAAAATACAAAAATGTGAGTGGTTGCTTAGGCATTGGTTGCGACTATTTGCCCCCACCATGGGGGACAGACTGACATTCCACACAATGCGAAAGTCAGAAAAGGGGAATACACTTCGGGGTAGCGACGGAGTAGGGAACCTGCCCTCAGCCCTCCCCAAATGCAACCAGGAGCTCATTGCTATGGCCCGAGCCCCCTTGACAGAGTGGACAAGCAATAGTTAGCCCCTGATTCCTTTAACGGAATCCCTTGCAGCAGCAGCATTAGAGGGGCAGGCACAGCCAATCCATGCCCCTCAACCAACCAAACCATAAACCAATGCCTAACCGCAACCTTACAAGTTGTGACGATTTGCTACACAGTAGGCAAAAACCAAATGGCCCCAGCCAATCAGCCAGATGGACAAAATTCCTACCGGGCCCCTGCCCCAAGAGCAGACGATCCCATGACAGGCATAGCAAGGTCAAAGCGAACAACCCTAATTCTAGGGGGGGGGGGGAGACGGGCAATCCGATGCACGGGCGAAAAGAGGAAGCCCTAACCTGTGCAAGGAGTTTTAGCATTTCTGGCTGTCAATCAACAAATGGCAACATTAACTTCTTCCCAACAACAAGGGAAGCCCCAATCGCATCAGTGGCCAACGATCAATTAGCCCGCCCCCAACTTTGGAGTGTCCTGGAGGCCCCCACCGCAACACGTGCTCTCCATGAAGGAGAACACGCTTTTTTCTACTCTAAACTGCCCTGTAACCCCTGGATGAAAGGCAGTAGATAAATTAAAATAATAATAATAGGACATGCCTCTTTGAAGGGGTGCTTCCACTGCCAATCATCTAATTGGCTCTGAGAGCGCACTTTCAAACGAAGTCCCTGTTGCTATCTCTCAGCTAATGGTTGGTTATAGCAATACCCTTTGAACTTTCACGGGCACCTCATGTTTGACTTCATTATGACTTTACTCTCAGGAATGTGTTACTGGATTGCAAACCTATGCATGGGTATAGGATTACAGCCTTGACTTCTTTGACTATAATTTCTTTGATTTATCATCTGCACTGATGAATTTAAACTATGACTCAAAGATTGCAATTGTTGCATTTACATCTCTCCAGACCTCCTAGTTGACGAATCAGGTCCCTGATATACAATTTGTTTAGAAATAATTTAAAAATATTTTCTTAAACCACCATCATAAAACTTGGCTTATACTTGATTTCCAGTTTTGAAGTATGCACATTACAGCAGGATCACATTGCAATTTTTCCGACTGACACCTTTAAGAAAACAACCCTTTTATTCATGAACTCTGCAATGAGCTTACAAGGAGCCTAAGGGATGCTGTCTGCACGACTGAGCAACAGGCCACTCAAACAAAAAGTCATGCCAGCTGTGTTTCCAGTGGAAAATAATCAAGCAAAAGCTTTGACTCTGTCATGTTAACTTATATTATCCCTTAGCCAGGCACACCGTAATCTCTCTCTTTGCTACCTGAAATCTTTCCACAGGCAAACCTCAGCTCAGTCAAACACAGAGATTTATCCATGTATAAGCAGAAGGAGCAAAGCATCACCTAGCTATGGAATCCCACACACTCACACACAATTTATTTTTTTGGAGTACGCGATGCAGTTTTCATTCCTATGCATAGCAAGTTCTTCAGTGTTTCTAAAAGGCCTGATCCTCAAAATGCACAGCTAAATTTACTTAGTAGGTGTGCAGGGAGAATTGAAAAATGATTCATCCCTTTCATGTTTTTCCCTCCATCTCCCTTCAGTGCCAGGTAACAGCTGCACAAGAGGTGCAAAAGCTGAAGGATCATGTGAGATGTAGTTTTCCCAAGGGTTGGTTAAAGTGCTTAACTTTGCCTGGACCATACAACAACAAAAGTACAAGGGTGATTTGCCCTGCACCCAATCCTCAATTTTCATACTGAAAAGCATAGAAATATAGAATCGTAGAGCTGGAAGACCCTAAGAATCATCTAGTGCAACCCACTGCAATGCAGGAATATGCAAGTGTCCCATATGGGGATAAAACCTGCTACCTTGGCATCGCGCTCTAACCAACTGAGCTATCTAGGCTATCCAGGCTTGGCAACAGTATGCACATGGTTCTGGGTGTGGTAGAGCCGTCTTGAACTGACCAGTCCAAACCTCACATCTCGCATTGAGGGAACTGCCAGAAGACCCTTGGCACTGGACCTCAGTGTCCAGGCAGAATGATGGGGTGGAGATGCTCCTTCAGGTATACTGGACCGAGGCCGTTTAGGGCTTTAAAGGTCAGCACCAATACTTTGAATTGTGCTCGGAAATGTACTGGGAGCCAATGTAGGTCTTTCAAGACCAGTGTTATGTGGTCTCGGCAGCTGCTCCCAGTCATCAGTCTAGCTGCCGCATTCTGGATTAGTTGTAGTTTCTGGGTCACCTTCAAAGGTAGCCCCATGTAGAGCATATTGCAGTAGTCCAAGCAGGAGATAACCAGACCATGCACCACTCTTGCGAGGCAGTCCGCAGGCAGGTAGGGTCTCAGCATGCATACCAGATGGAGCTGGTAGACAGCTGCTCTGGACACAGAATTGACCTGCGCCTCCATGGATAGCTGTGTGTCCAAAATGAGTCCCAGACTGTGCACCTGGTCCTTCAGGGGCACAGTTTCCCCATTCAGGACCAGGGAGTCCTCCACACCCACCCACACCCTCTCTCCCAAAAACAGTACTTCTGTGTTGTCAGGATTCAACCTCAATCTGTTAGCCACCATCCATCCTCCGACCGCCTCCAGGCACTCACACAGGACCTTCACCGCCTTCACTGGTTCAGATTTGAAAGAAAGGTAGAGCTGGGTATCATCTGCATATTGATGAACACCCAGCCCCAACCCCCTGATGATCTCTCCCAGCGGCTTCATATAGATGTTAAAAAGCATGGGGGAGAGGACAGAACCCTGAGATACCCCACAAATGAGTGTTGGAGCAGGAGAGCTTTTCATGACACCAACTGCCAACTGCCTCTTTATCACCCTGGCCATCTACGGTATTTGTTTTTCAAGCAGCTGTGGAAAATCCAGAATAATGTAGACATAATTGCTTCCTTGGCTTTGGTTTATTTCTTTCATTTTAGATTTATTTTTTTCTTGTTTGTGCTGTTCGCGTTTCGTTGCTATCTGGTTTCAAGCAGCATCATAGATTTAATTTTGTTAGAACATTTATTTTTGTTATAAAACACCCTTGGGAATTATTTCTCTATAGAAACACTAGAATATCAACAAAGAAAGTGGGTATGTGATGTAGTGAAGTGGTTCATGACCAGAGGGTAGGGTTGGGCAGAATACATATAACTGGTCTTTCCAAGTAATCAGACTGCCTAATTATTATTTTTAAATACCTGTCTGTCCAGGATCCTGTAAAGTCTTGCACATGTCTTGCCAACCGGACTGCATGATGAATTCAATTATAGCAGGAATGGAGAAGCTGTACCCCTCCAGGGGTTGCTGGACTTCAACTCCCATTAGCCTCAGTCAGCATGGGTGATGGGAGCTGGAGTCACTTGCACCAACCAAAGCAAAAGATGGAGGGGCAGCTTTTCCCATTCTCCTCCTCTCGCCATTACACATTTTCCCCAAATTGTTTCCAAATGGAGAACAAATAACTTTGCCAGCTCCAGGGCTCATGTAGTTCCCTCCCCCCATCCCTATTCCAGGGATATGTCTGGGGATATGTCTGCCTCATGGGGATACTTTCCAGGGATATGCTCACCCTGTTCCGGGGATATGTCTGGGGGGATGAGTGGACTTCGGATCTAGTCATTCCTGATTCTCCCCTAACACACCCATGGAGCTTTTGCCCTTATTGCTTAAGCAGAAGCACCAGAACCTGAGTCATGGCAGCAGAGCTTTCCAACCATGGTTGGATTATGGGAAATGTAATCCAACAACACCTAGAAGGCCACAAATTACCCATCCCTGGTTTACATCAAGGGTGAAGAACTTGACTCTCCAGATTGTTCAACTCCAATTCCAACATAGGAACATAAGAATAAACTGCTAGATTGGGTCAATGGCCTGTCTAGTCCAACATCCTGTTCTCACAGTGGCCAACTAGAAGCCTGTGGGAAGCTCACAAGAAGGACCTGAATGCAATATCCTTCTCCCCACATGTGAATCCCAGCATCTGGCTCCAACTGTGGAGGCAGAACATAGCCATCATGGCTAATAGCCATTGATAGCTTTATACTCCATAAATTTGTCTAATTCTCTTCCAAAACCATCCAAGTTGGTGACCATCACTACTTCTTGAGGAAGCCAGTTCCATAGTTTAACTATGTGCTGTGTGAAGAAGCACTTTCTGTTGTCTGTCCTGCCCAGTGCTGTGGCCCAAGCATATCTGGAGTGCCACAGATTCCCCACCTGTGGTTTACATGGAGAAAGCTACTGAATCTTCACGGTACAATCCTTTGCATATCTATGACCTCCACAACATTTATCCTTCTCTGTTGGTGGACCTTTCTTTTCTGCCCAAAGAGGGATAAGTACACAGTGTCCTATGGCCCCTGGGATGCCCTCAAACTGATTAAGCATTGGAGACCGGCATTTAGTAAACATATACTTCATGCTACACATACTTCCCTAAAACTAAAGGTAAAGGGACCCCTGACAGTTAAGTCCAGTCGCGAATGACTCTGGGGTTGTGGCGCTCATCTCGCTTTACAGGCCGAGGGAGCCAGCCTTTGTCCGCTCCGCAGACAGTTTTTCCGGGTCATGTGGCAAGCATGACTAAGCCACTTCTGGCGCAATAGAACACCTACACCAGAGCAGCACACAGAAATGCCGTTTACCTTCCTGTCGGAGCGGTACCTATTAATTTACTTGCACTTTGGGACGTGCTTTCGAACTTCTAGGTTGGCAGGAGCTGGGACCGAGCAACAGGGGCTCACCCCATCACGGGGATTCGTACCGCCAACCTTTTGATCAGCAAACCCAAGGCTCAGTGGTTTAGACCACAGCGCCACCCACGTCCCATAAAACTAAAACCTAAAACTACAGAACAGTAAAAGAGAGACTGGTGATAAGAACGGTTCAGCATGGAATTATCTTCTGAATGCAATTGGCCAAAGCAATTGCAGACCAACATGCCTTCTTCACAAAACAAGGCAAACCTGTATTAACAAATAACTGCATGCTGCTGTGTCTTTTTTACGTTTTTTATTTTATTTACTCCATTCACTGGCCTTTTATTTCAGAATTCCGTAGCATCCTTCCTTCAATGTCTTTTCTAATTTTTTCACTTGATTTGGGATTACCATTTTGAAGGCTTATTATACAATAAGTCTATACATTAAATATTCATCACATAATGATAATTCATATATACATAACCCCCAGAAGATATTTATAGCAACTTTAAATAGACTGAGCTTAATTAAGGGAGTTAAAGGATTAAACGATTTAATATAAAGCTCTTTGGGGTTGCTAATGGGGCACATATTAAAGGATAAAATAATCTTTTGTGTATTTGGGGCTTCAAGGCTAGGAAGAGAAAATGGGGAAGGAAGAAACAGAGGGAGCCAGCATGGCTAAAAATACATTTCAAGATCAAGCACGAATTAGACTTGCTGTTGGCATGATGAATAATGTATATAGGTGGCAATAAGAGCAGCCCAGGTTTGTCTTAATGTGGATAAAGCTGATCCAAAAATCATTTCCACATGGCAAAAATCAACTCCTGATTACTCTTTCCCAACTCCTGAATATTCCCAATCATGTAAAAATGAGCTGGAGGAAAATTCGTGTTGTAGGCAATGGATTTATCAGAAACGCAACTGCTCTTGTTCATGTTTTCTAGGTAAATGTTTGTCATTATTAGAGGAGGACTGTATGTGGATGTGGAGCCTGTAGACTGCAGAGACCCTGCAAACGTTTACTTCAGGGCCACTCTCAAACCAGCCTGTTGTGCCCCTGAGCTACCTGTTGGAAAAACGCCCTGGGAGTGAGCCTGCAAGCCCCCAGAACTGCAAGCGTCCTCCAGTATGCGCAGCTCTGGAGAAGGTATTCTCCCCTCCTCTCCAGTGTGCTCAGCGACATATACCAGCCAGTATAGGCACACTAATCTTCTGGCAAAACACAGCAAGAAGAGCAAGACATCGTAGATCTAATCTACTATTTATTTACACACTATGTACAGACAAAGGCATAATGGGATCTGTTCTCTCCAGCTCCGAGAGAACAAACAGACAGAAATAAAAGCAAAAGTACATTGTAATAGTACCCACAGTGGAAGAGTTAAGACCGTCTTCCTTTCTTGGACTCGTCCCAGACAGGCATGTGAACAATCTCATCTGCAGCATTGGAGGCATGAAATACTAACATCTCCTTTCTCCTTTCTATGACACTATGCAGCAGAAGACCCAAACCCATGCCTTCCAGTGTGGCTGGACTCCGCTGTTGGAAGGTGCTCAGAGTGCCTCCTAGCAGCAGATTTTCAAAGCGTTTGTGGTAACTGCTTTTTATAACTCATTCCTCACTCTATTTTACCCTCCTAAAAGCCAAAGCAATAGTGGCATTCCTGAGAAATATACACACGTGATATGTGGTCTCTTACATAATGGTGTTCTTGGGTGCAGCCCAAGAAAGCTGCAAAGCAATGGATTCCATTGGTTTTGCATCAAACACGCCTGAGAGCTAGTGCACTAAAGCACCAAACTGTAAAGGTCTGGAAGTCAAGAAGAATCCACTCCTGGATAGCACTTAACAAGATGGACCGCTGGCCTGATGCACTGGGGCCAATGTAATGGCCTTGTGTTCCCAGTCCTACTATTTGCATGATGGATGATTTCATCATTTAAGTAATGAACAATTATGGTTGATGGTCATTAAGTCTCATTGGTCCCAAGGCCATTTGCTCATCAAGAGCTGGAACACATTCACCCCCTTCCCCATCATCACATGGTATAAGTGGTTGGAGAACATGATTTTCCCTGTCATTTTCCCTTTGACAATATCAGGTACAGAAAAGTCAACAGCAGAGGCAGAAAATGGAACTCGATGGGTCCATTCATCTGAGCAGGAGGTTTTATTTAATGTGATGGCTAAATCCTTTTGCAAGCCACACCATATGTATTGGGTATTCTTGAACTCTGATCCAAAACATACGTCACACAATCTCATTACCATCACAGCATCCTACCGAAGACA